AATCTAGATATGGAACCCTTCTGTTTTGAAAAGTTCTGAAAATCATAGATAGCACTGTTAATTGTTATTCAATCACTAATCTTTTGTCACCATCTTGGGTAGTTTCTAATGGAATCCAGAGAGTCAATTTTAATATTCTTTGCCATTTTATGTTCCCTTACGTTTATTAAAGGTGTATTATTTACTAGGCTTTAATTTTGGGTTCAAGTTTTTCCTTTTATTTTGAGAAAGAAAGAAAAATAGAATTTAAAATCCTTTGGTTTAAGTATTATGAAAATATCAAAAACTCTCCTCCATATAGGGGTCACCAGTCACCTTCTAGCTGGAATACAGTTGCCTTTTTGCTGCTAAGATGGCTTTCCGTTTTCCATGTCTTCCACAGTCTCAGTTCTAACACTCCTTCTTCTGCCAAATCAATGACCGTGGTATATTTATTTAACTTTGCTCTCTCATACATTAAACTGGCTTTAATAATACCTCATTCAAGAAGTTGTATAAGTGAGATAATGGATATGAAGTACTTAGCATTGTGACAGACATATAGTAGATGTTCTGCAAACGTTATTTAATAATACAATTTAAATTATATTGACGAATGATATATTTTTTTTACTATTTCATCATTTTCTTTTTCTAGAATAGAATAGGTAGTAATAGATAATAGTGTGTTTTAAAATGATAAAGTAATATCTCACATGATTTCACCAAATGAACAGAACTGAACAAATTCACTTTTTTTGTGTTAAATAACTTCACTGGAACTTTGCAATAATACTCTTTTATTTATTTATTTTTTTAATTGTGATGTGGGTGAAAGTTTACAGAGCAAATTCACTTTCCATACAACAGTTCACATACACTTTGTCTCATGACACTGACTACAATTTACCCCAATGCAACAGCTCCCCCCCACTTCTTCCCCATAGTTACCTCTTCCCTGTGACCTTCACTCCATGCACTCCTGCCCCCTGAGCTATGTCCCTGTGCATACACAGCCCTTCTATTCTCCCATGATTGTTCTCTCCAAGGAGTGTATCTACCTAGTATAAATGTTCACCTCATATGTCTGTCTTTTGTTTGGCTGGAAGCTACAAGTGTGGGTTCAATTCCAGACCTGAAGGGCAGCTAGGGGCCATAGTCTCAGTGGTTCCAACAGGCTCTATCGGACCAGCAAACTTAGTCCCACTCTCCCCTTTTTTTTCCCAAATGATTTTCAGTTTTGTTCCACTTTGTTCTCCCACTGCCATAATACTCTTAATGTGGTTTCCTGCACTGGCTTGACCTATAATGGAGAAATTAGTATAAAATTAGCATACAGAGCAAGGTCATTTTACACCTCTTCTAAATGGCTTATTTAGTCAATTGGTGCAATATAAAGGTTCCAGTACATTGTGTCAAAAACAGGTAGCAAAGTTCTAGTAGTTTTTTTCTAACTCTATTATTTTTTAAATCAAGATCTTTAATCTATTGAATCCTGTTAGCTTTGATGGTGAAGTCAATGTTTTACTCACCTTTGTATTCCCAACAGCCCTTAGCACATAGCAGGCATTTGTGAAAAAATTGCTCCAGAACTCTGAAAAAATGATTTGTAACTTAATATGGTGGATTTATTTGGTACTTTATTTTTCCTGGAAAATATCTACAGTCTAGTGTTTCTGCCTTTTCTCCTTTCATCCCAATTCTAAGTGCTACCAGTGCCTGAACAACAGGGAAAATGTTGCTGAATAATGTTATATGAGGTCTGAATATTGTAATGCACCTGTACTGAGCCATTTGTACACATCCATTACCTTCCTATTTATGTATACCTTCCTTTTGAAATATGCTTTATCTTGTAGAAACCACAGAAGTTTCTTTTTCAGCATACTGATTTAATAACCTTCATATTGTCATGCAATGCAAGTATCCTATATAGAAACCTTTCAGAATTAAAATCTTACCTCCCCTATGAGATAAAGAGAAAATAAGAATAAAAATGTATCCACATAAAAGACAAGAGAAAGAGTTAAAAGATATAAATCTGCCAAAAAGTTTTTCTTCCTGTAAAACAGCAGCAATTTGAACTGCAGACAATTTTGTGTGTTAAGTACTGCCATTCAGCCCTTATCCCTAAGGCTGCTGATGAACATTTTGAAGAGGAATTTGAAATAATAATAATAATACAGAGAATAGAGTCCCAGGATGGGCTACATAATTTGTGAGGCCCAGTGAAAAATGAAAATGCACAGCCCCTTCTTCAAAAATGATTAAGAATTTCAAGACAGCAATAGCAGAGCATAAAACCATGAAGCTAGCCCTGTAGGATTCCCTGTTTCTGGGAGGTGGTCTTCCTGTTGGTACTTTGCCTAGAAGCTCTTTGGAGTGAACGCCTTCATTGTGTTTGAAAGCATTGAGACTTGAACATCAGAGAGAGTAAACTGGTATGGGTTGTCCATCGTGAACATGTAGCTAGGCTGGCCAGTACAGTTACTGGCCATTGTAAGATGGTCAGCAAGGCCACAGAAGTGAAAATAATGAGGTCATTCATTCCATGAGTGGTGATTGAGCCCTTTGAGAGTAGAGAAAGCAACAAGGAGAGAATAAGCATTTATTTAGTGTCATCTTTGGATAGGAGCCATATTGGGCTCTTTTTTAAAAAATACATTATCCTGATTTGTCATGAAAATCTTACAAAATAATTTTATTACCCTCATTTTCTGCATGTGGGAACTGAGCTGCAAGGATATAAAATAACTTGCTCGAAGTCACACAGCGTATAAATGCAAATGGTGATTACCCACATCTGTCCTCATACCAAGGCCATGTTCTTTCATGAGTATTGGTATCATGCTGGCTAATGTCTGTTTTTAGGGACTGGTAGCCACAGTGAAAATGCAGCCTTGAGAAGCAGCAACAACAACAACAACAAAAAAAAGCAGGAGTGTGATTAGGGAGGGAAATTTAGCCTGGCAGTTTCTGTAGTGTGAGGAAGCAGAGCCCAGCTCAGACTGAGGCCATGAACCAAACATAGAATACAGTAAATGACAAGGGAGTCATTATTATCCTGACCAGTCAGAAGTAACTGTCTCCCTTACAGTAGAGTAATACAGTGGTTACAGAACAAATGTAACATGTTGGAGATAGATAGAAGATAATCTTGATTGTTACAGAATAATAGCTTCTACAGTAAAGGCAAAAAAGTTCTCAAATTATAGGAATCAGACTTTGTTCACTCATATTCCACTTCCTTTACAATTTTTCCATGTCTGTCTTACCCATACCATTAAATATGTAACATATATTTGAAATCTTGTATTCTATGTCAGAGGAATGCCTGGATGGTGCACATGGTTAAACACTGGACCACTACCCCTAAGGTTGGCAGTTCAGACCCCTCCAGAGTTGTCTCTGGAGTAAGGCCTGGTGATTTCCTTCTTGTGTCTTGAAAACCCTATGGAGCAGTTCTGCTCTGGACACATGGGGTTGCCATTTGTTAGAATCGAGTCAACCACAAACAACATCAACATTCTCTGTTAGTATGAATGGGTTTATACTAACCAAAGCACTAGCTTTCTGTCCTTAGTCAAGCCACTCTACTCATTGTTAAAGGTCATTTCTTCTTCAATTTACTCAACTAATATTTATTGAGTGCCTTGTATGTTCTAGGATCTGTCCACCTGGAGAAGTGGGGCGGGTGTGAGAGGAAGAAAAGGCAGAGATGAGAAAGATGTGGTCCTTGCCTCAGAGACTTTCAGACTGATGAATCAAATAACAGAAACAAGAGAACATAACCATGACTTTTGTGGATATTTCAGCATATAGTTCTTATATCCATAGTTTAGAATATGTATGTACACACATATATATATATATATGTCTAACAACAACATATATATATAGTTATGTTATATATATGTGTGTGTGTTTCACTTGAACACCTTTTCTACACAGTAATTTGATTTTATAGATTAAAATGCCCATTACTTTCTTCTACTGTTGCTTTTATTTTTTCTTGCAAATAAAAAAGCGTTATAACAAAAGGTGATTTGTATGTTACTTACAACATGTGGTTACCATAATTTTTTTTTTTTTTTTGCTTCCAGTGTAAAACTCTTTCTGGAGTCTGTGATCACATCATATCCCTATCATCAGATCCTCTGGTTTCACAGTCTGCCCACCTGGAAGTGATTCAGCTGGCAAACATCAAGCCAAGTGAAGGGCTGGTAAGAGACACCATGTTTATCAAAGCCACCATCCATCAGCAAACAGTTAATGATATGGGCAAAGCAACCTCCAAATATGGGAATCCATGAATTTAAAAAGTCAATGAACGTTTTCATATATTTATCTAGAGGAGTTAAGATAGTAGGAGTTTGTCATGATAAGATGTTTTAGGAAGATAAATGAAAATTAAAGAGAATTGAAAATGGTGATTTAAAAAAAAAATTCTGTTTACCTTGGTAATAATTTAGCTTTCTTGCATTTTTTAATCCCCCTACCAAACTTTCTTAACCTTAAAGGAAGTTTAAGTTCTATAATAAACACCACATTGTTACCTACACATGCAGTGGGTTTTATTTGTTTTGTTTGTTTTGCTTTGGTTTGTTCTGGCTTCAATAGTTCTTTCTTCCCCTCGGGAGAATAATCTGAACAAAACCCATGTTCTTTGTAACTCATATCTATTCTTTCTTATAAAAGCAAATAAACAAGTGGATATTTCCAACACTAGACTAATATCTATATGATCTATTTTTTTCTTGTAGTATGTAATAAGATAATCATCTATATTTTGTTCACCTGATTAAAAAGTGAATTGGTTCTAAGTTTAACCCCAGAGAGGGCTTCTTTGTTTTTGACTTTTAATAAGCCTCAAGGGGAAAAGCATATAAAATTGATACTGATACTTGAGAGAAAAAAACAAGAAACTGGTTAGAGAACATTTGACCTCACTTGGCAGCTATTCCATGTTACCTTAGTGCCAAAGTGTTTCTACTTTCTCCCTGTAATTGAATTTTCCAGGAAAGCCATTAATGATATTTTTGAAAGTAGAAATCCTGAAAACTAGCATTAATAATTGAATTCAGAGTATATTCTTATAAGCTGCTAAGCATGAAAGGTAATCCCACAGAATATGGAAATTATCAAACAGTATCATTAATATCACACACAAGTAAAATCTTACTGAAGATAAATCAAAAACGGTTGCAGCAGTATATTGACAGAGAACTTCCAGAAAGTCAAGCTGGATTCAGAAGTGGACATAGAACGAGGGATATCACTGCTGGTGTGAGATGGATATTGGCTAAAAGAAAAGAATACCAGAAAGATGTTTACTTGTGTTTTTTTTTTACTATGCAAAAACATTCACTTGTGTGGATCATAACAAATTATGAATAACATTGAGAAGAATAGGAATTCCAGAACACTTAATTGTACTTATGAGGAACCTGTGCATAGACCAGAAGGCTATCATTCGAACAGAACATGGGGACACTACATGGTTTAAAATCAGGAAGGGAATGCATCAGGGTTGTATCCTTTCACCATACTTATTCAATCTGTATGCTGAGCTGTATGCTGTATGCTGAGCAAATAAACTGAGAAGCTGGACTATATAAAGAAGAGCATGTCATCAGAACTGGAGAAGACTCATTAACAACCTGCAATACGCAGATGACACAACTTTGCTTGCTGAAAGTGAGGATGACTTGAAGCACTTCCTGATGAAGACTGAAGACTATGGTCTGCAGTATGGATTACACCTCAGTATAAAGAAAACAAAAATCCTCACAACTGGACCAATAAGCAATATCATGATAAACGGAGAAAAGATTGAAGTTATAAAAGACTTCATATTACTTGATTCTACAGTCAACACCAGTGGAAGCAGCTGCCAAGACATCAGATGATGTACTGCACTGGGCAAATCTGCTGTGAAAGACCTCTTTCAAGTGCTGAAGAGCAAAGATGTCTGCTTGAAGACTAAGATGCACCTAACCCAAACCATGGTATTTTCATTTGCCTCATATGCATGTGAGAACTGGGCAGTGAATAAGGAAGACCAAAGAAGAGTCAATGCTTTTGAGTTGTGTTGTTGGTGAAGAATGCTGAAAGTACCATGGACTGCTAAAAGAACTAACGAATCTGTCCTGGAAGAAGTACAGCCGGAATGCTCCTTGGAAGTGAGACTGGCCACACTTTGTCTCACCTACTTTGGTCATGTTGTAAGAAGTCACCATTCCCTGGAGAAGGATATCATGCTTGGTTAAGTGGAGGGTCAACCAAAAAGGGGAAGGCCCTCAACAAGATGAATTGACACAGTGGCTGCAATGATGGGCTCAGGTATAGCAAGGATGGTGGGGCTAGCACAGGACCAGGCAGCATTTTGTTCTGTTGTACATAGGGTTGCTATGAATTGGAGACAACTTGACAGCACCTAACAAGAACAACATGGCTCCTAGTGCTAGTGTGGTTTTTGTGGATGTTTCCTGGGAAGACAGAAATCAGCCTATCAGACATAACCAACATGCCATCATCGTAACCTACAAGTATTGTATCCAACTTTGATTGCTTTCAGGAGTTTCTTTCTAACATCTATAAACTCATTTGAAGTAATATGATTTTAAATTGTATTCCTTTTGATTACCTTTACAAAGTTCAGTTTTATTTAAAAGATCATTCAACCTACAGTATTAAAGATTTTTCTTGTCACATCTCCTCTTTCAATAGTTGCAGAGGAAAGAAGCCTCTCTAAGCATGGTGTGTAGTGTGGAAAATTATTAAGTAATACTACATTAGACTAAGAGTCAAGACACCAGGATACAAATTGTTTATGTATAATATAGCTATTTAGTGTGATCTTTAGGGGAAGGGGTACATTTAACCTCTCTGGCCTCGATAATTCATCTGTAAAACGTGGGGGATAGGAAGAGGTGAACTAAAAACCAGAAACACAGTTGCCACAAAATCTGTTCTGACTCATGGTGACCCTTTGTGTGTCAGAGTAGAACTGTGTTCCATAGCTTTTTCCAATGGCTGGTTTTTCAGGAGATCAGTAGGCCTTTCTTCAGAGGCACCCCTGAGTGAACTGGATCTTTAAAGCCCCTCCTAGCCAGTGAGTCTGTGATCCCAGAGCCTTTTCCTTTCCTCTAATTTTCACTGAAGTCATAGGGAAAAATAGCCATATAAAGTGAATCAATGCAATGGTAATTGATGAACTTCATGAAATTTTGAAGTTTTTAATGAAAACATACCCCTGAACAGGTTGGGTTTTCATTTATTTATTTATTTTAATTTCCAAGGGAAATCTGGGTCTGCTCTTTGGACTTGTCATTAACTTAAAATGTGAAGAACCTGATTCAGTTTACTGGTGTGGGAAAAATTGAAAAGTGAGTGCCTACCATTTGCCAGGGAGCTCTGGTAGCATAGTGGCTAAGGCACTTGACTGCTAACCAGAAGGCTGGCGGTTCAAACCCACCAGCCACTCCTCGGAAGGAAGGTTGGGCAATCCTACTTCCGCAGTGATACTGCCTCGGAAACCCAAGGAGGGGTCGCTATGAGTTGGAGCCGACTCGATGGCAAATAACAACAACAACCATTTGCCAAGTATTTTCCTCACAATTTTATAGAGTAGGTATTAATTTTCCTGTTTTACAAATGAGAAAACAGAATCATTAGGTCATTATCAATTTCTCCTATATCACATTGTTAATAATGATCAAAATTTGAAGATTTTTGGGAGTACCTATTCTATGTGCATATAGGGAGGCCATTTTGATTCCAGAAAAAGCAAAAGGCTCAAAGAGGCTAGGTACAGTGGGCTCGCAAGGACAAGACCCACTGTGCTTGAGTCGATTCCAACTCATAGTGACCATGTAGAACAAAGTAGAACTGCCCCATAAGGTTTCCAAGGTTTACAGAATCACACTACCGCATCTTTTTCTCACAGAGTGCATGATGGGTTTGAGCTGCCAACTTTTGGTTAGCAGCCGAGTGCTTTAACCACTGTGCCACCAGGGCTCCTCATAAAGAGAAGAGGGACAGATATGGAAGATAAACCACTGGCTAATTTTAATGTGATTATTGATAGCAGGTTACTTGTGGTCTGGCTGCTTATAATTTGACCCTTCACCCATCCGCACCACCATGCTTTTTGAGATTTAAATTAGGAGCTAATAGTTTGACACCCGTGTTTTTTGAACTGGGTAAGACAAATATACATTGCTAGAGAGCCATTTCTAACAGGCTTTTGAGGTTGGGATCATGCTTTTTATGGTTAATATTTGGTTTTGTGGATAAGAAAAACCTAAACCTCAAAGTAAGATATCTGTTACTAATTTTGTTATTCTACAATATATAGGTAATAAACAATAGAGGCAGAATTTAAGTCCAGGTAAATCTAAATGAACTACACCTGAACAAAGCTTTTTCCATTATCTCACATTCAAATTTGAAATTGTTAAAGGGTGGTGTGAGAAGTTTAGTAGAATTGATTTTAAAACTGGAACTCCTTAGGAAAATTCATTTTTAAAGGACAATGGGCAATACTTCATTGGGAAGATATTTCCAAGGAAGGAAAAGAAAAACTGAAAATGTTGAAAACTAATAATTTGTATAAAAAAGCCATTTCCTGTGATTCATTATCAGAGGTTGTTGTTGTTGTTAAGTGCCGTCGAGTCGTTTCCGACTCATAGCGACCCCATGCACAGCAGAACGAAACACTGCCCGATCCCACGCCAGCCCCACAATCCCTGCTATACTTGAGTCCATCATCGCAGCCACCATGTCAATCCATCTCATTGAAGGTCTCCCCCTCTTTCGTCGACCCTCCACCCTACCAGGCATGACATCCTTCTCCAGGGAATGGTCCCTTCTTACAATATCATTATCAGAGGACAATACATTATCAGAGGAGGAGAGACTAAATAGAGATTTTCAAATACATTATTCAAATTTATGATTTTAAATCTCAGCCACCTTTAAGTAAGTTTAATCAGTCATATTTGAAATTAAATAGATTTGAGAATTGTGTTAACTTCTAGCATATGCTTAGCTATAAATATCTAAATGGTAAATGAAGGAAAGAAATATAGGTGGGAGAAAACTAAGTTTCAATGAAGTTTGATTAACTTAGAAATGTTTGCATAATTTCAAAACATTTGCTAATTTCAAAATAAAATGTCTCTTACAGGCAAAAAGTAGCTGCTTTGTTTTTCCATCAATA